AAATTTTTCAGTAAAGAGCCAGACAGCATACATTTTAGGTTTTTGCCAGCCATTTAGGCTCTTTTCCAAGTACCCAGTGGTACTGCAATGTAAAAGCAGTCACAGACAACACCTAGATAAATGAACAGGACAACAAAACTTTATTTATGGACCCAAAAGTCTGAATTCTCATAATTTTACGCATTACAAAAAAAAATTTTCAACCACTTAACAATATAAAACCAGTTCTTAGCTCTGGGGCTGAACTATAAATGAAGGCAGCCTAGAGTCAATATCTGAGCCACAGTTTGCTGACTCCTGATCCAGCTACAAAAGAAACTAACCAAAAAAACGGTACAGCATTCCCACAAGGTTTGCAGCAGTTAATATCTGGATGTCTATACTAGGTCTTTGAAATACCTTAGGCATTAGTTAACATATCAGAGTGGGTAGGTTCAGCCAGTATTGTGAAGGGCAAGTGAGAGCTTCTGAGCAGAATTAGGATTCCGCCTCAAGAAAATAAAGGAGTGAGGGGGAAAGAATGAGGGGATGGGGAGGAGGAGGGTGGAAGGAAGGACCTTACCAAGAAGATAGCCACTGCAACTTTTATAGCAAAAAACAGTGGACAAGCCCACAATCCATAGCCTGTGCACACACACAGACACACATGAGAGGGATCTGAGAGTTCAGCTTTACAAAAACCCTGACCTAGGTGATGTCTCCTCACAGACATCTCCCAGGAAAGAGGAAAACAGCAACAGCAGCAGCTTAAACACCCTTTGTGGGGGAAGGCAGAGAACTACCAACCCAAACATTACGGAAACTATTTTGATATTCAAGAAACCTCGTTGGCTATAGTTTTATTTTACCAGTTAGTCTGAAATAAGTTTCTATTTTTGACATTGAAAAAAAAAAATCCACCAGCTCATCCACCATTTAATCCCTGGAATGGCACACAATTCTGTCTTACGAAGTTATTATAAACAAACATTTGATTGCAAAACTAGGCAAAGAGAAGGGGAGAGTGGCAGGGTGGGAATGGGGGAATATGGAATATGGTTGGGGATCACCGGGGTTTTGGTGGTGGGCAGGGAGTGAAAACATAAATTTGTAAAGGTCTGAACCTATAACCCCTAAAACAAATATAATGGTGTAAACCAATTTTAACTCATAAACATTACTTGGAGGGCAAAAAAGTAATTACAGAGTTCAGATATTCTAAGTCCCTAAAAACCTTCCATTAGAAAGAAAATTAATCTCAAAATAAAATTTAGATGTTGCCTGAATTCACAAAGTTAGATGGAGGATGGCATATAATATGGGACGTAACACACTTAAGGACCATTATCTATGAGAAAGACAGCTCTTTTACTATGTAAGCTCCAAACTGATTGGAGCTTACATAAATAATCATAATCATAAATAATCATAAATCATCCCTCTGGAAGTTACAGTGTTATATAATCTGTAACTACTATACCACCAACTCCCAGAGCCACAGAAATAAGAAAGACTGACCTTATCAGAAGCAAAATAATCAACAATTTTTGGAGAAATGGACTCATCCTGAGCCAAGAAAGTAAATTTTGACATAAAATGATTCTCAAAAAATGTGTAACTACTGAGGGCTCCTCCCTGGTGGCGCAACAGGTTACAGCGCAACACTATGACGCTATCTGCAGCCACAAGTTTGATCCCCACATGGCACAGCAGACCATTACTGAACCACCTGCTGCTCCCCTCAGCAGTGTATTTCTTTCTTTCTTTCTTCTTTTTTTTTTTTTTTTAAAGATTTATTTATTTATACATAGAGAACTGGGTACAGGCCAGAGGTGCAGGGGTGGTGAGAGGCTTCACTAGAGAACAAGCAGAGTAGAACAGGCAGATCAATGAAGTACACAATGAAGTACACTGCTGAGGGGAACAGCAGGCGGGTCAGGAAAGGTCTGCCATGCCTTGTGGGTCACCTCCAGGGCTGGAGATTGAACTGGTACTAAAGCCGCAGTGGCTGGCTTGCAGTGATGCATCCTTAACCGTTGTGCCACCAGAGAGGTCCAGTAGAGTATTTCAGTCAGTCTGCCTGTTCTGCTCCCTACTCTGTCTCTGGTGAATCCTCTCACCTCTCTCCCCACCCCTTTGGTAAATCCTCTCACCCCCACCCCAAATCTTGTATGTGTAAACAAATACTTTTTTTTTTTTCTTAAAAAAAAAAAAAGGTCTAAATACTGATATTCTTCCTACTTAGAAAATACTTGGTTTGTATTTTCACATTTACAAATATATATTACTGTGTATATATAGTTAGGTCATGAACAGGACTGTCCTGGTTCTAGATGTTGGTGAGAGGGAAGTCCAAGAACACAGGTACTCACAGGGTGGTAAGCAGTCATTCTATCTTTTAGGATCCTAAAGTAAGGGATATCATAATATATAGTGGTTCTTTCCTAGACTGTGAACCCCCACTTCCACCATACAAATGGCCTGTAATCACAAATGACTTTATAGAACTGCTATGGTCTGTGCCTCTCTAAAAGGAAAACCTCTAGAAAGAAAAGGAGAGAGTCCACTAGAAGATAACAAAACTTACAATAATGAGCTGCATAGGAAGGACCAAACAATTGGGTCTCAACAGCTTTGGAGACCTAGGTCATACAGGCTCTATTCAATTAGTAATGAATTTGTAAGAATGAATCATTCTACTGACTGATAATGATAAGGAAGGGGTACCCAAGCTGAGAGCAATTCAAAGAGGCTTTCAAATTGCTGCTTAAAATATCTTGTGAGCTTTATTTAAATTTGATGGGAAGGCTACAAAACATTTATGTCAGACTTTCAAATCTCCCTTCTGATGTGCCAAATTGGAGAGACGAAAAAGGGAAGCCATGAAGAACAGGAGGCATCTTTTGTCACTGAGAGTGCTACAAAGTAGTATGCACACATAAGTTCTCCAATATTTACACTGCCTGTTTCCATGCCATCTCTGCTTAAAACAATGATAAAAAGCAGGCAGGGCTGAATTCTCTTCAGGGGACGCACACAATTGAAAGACAAATCACAAAAGTTGAAATCATTTTACCAGTAATCGCAGCTCTGTCATGCATTCTATCACTAGAGAAAATGACTTCCTAGGCAACCTATGAAGAACTAACTAAGCAATAAAATACAGTAATTGTTAAGAGGGGAAAAACATATATGATGCAAAATTTAGGTGAATGGACAGCTGGCAGCCAGCTTCTATTGGAAAGTTGGACGTTGACAGTGAGAGATGGTGGAATGGAAACCCATGTATAGAGGGCATCCATCCTAAAGTCCCTTCTCCATAAAGCAGACAATTAAGACTTTAAAAAAGGAAATGATAGCATGATCAAAGGCTTCAGCTGTGGATTGAACTGTATGCTTCAGAGGGATAAGTTAAAGTTCTAACTCCCCTATTACACAAATGTGGCCTTACTGGGGAAAAATTTCTTTGCAGATGTCATCAATGTAAGATAATGTCACACTTATCACACTTAATGTGTGATGGCTCCTAAATGCAGTGTCTCGGTGTCCTTATGTAAAAGCTGTATGAAGGCATGGAGACATACAAAAAGGCCATGTGAAGAAGGAGGCAGAGATTGGAGTTATGCTGCCACAAACCAAGAACACCAAGAGTTAATAACAACCACCAGAAGGTAGAAGTAAAAGAAAGGATGATGCACTGGAAGGAACATGGTCCTGTCAACACTTTAATTTCAGATTTCTAGCCTCTAAAACTGTGAGACAATAAATTTCTGTTATTTTAAGTCTCTGGGCTCTGTTAAGTCACCCAGCACTTTCTTAAGGTAGCCTGGGGAAGTTAACACACCCTTCTCTGATGGCTTCCTATGTCATTGAGGAAAACAAAACAAAACAAAACAAAATAAAGCATCCTCACAATAAATTCAAGACCTCTCCTTATCTGGCTGACTTCAATCAGCCACCTAGTCACTCCACTCCAGCCTCTGGCCTCTATCAGACCATGACGCTCCCACTGCAGGGCCTCACCCTGTCATCAGTTGATCCTCTCTAAGACCTCTGCAGATGCTATTCACTCAGCGGGAAGGGTTCCCACCCAGGAGTGTGGGAAGGTTTATTCCTTCAATTTGCTCAAGATTCCTTTTCAGTAAGGTCCCCCTAATTCCCATTCCACATCTCCTATTCTCCTATCCTTACCCCAACACCCTACTCCTTCTTCTCCTGTTTTTATAACTCTCTGTAATACCTAACACAAGTTGACACCTACATTTTGCTCAACCCTAAAAGACAAATTTATAGTTAGCTCCATGAGCTCAGGACTTCTTCACTGCTGAATCACAGTACATTCTATTTATTGATTGAGTAAGTGCATTCTATCAGGACAGGTGAAAGTTAACTCAAAACTGGCCGTGTGACAAAAAAGGTTTCTACTAATTAAGTGGAACAGCAGAAGTTCCTGTAAATGAAGGGCAGATTCAAGGTTGGGCACTGAGGGGCAAGGAGTCTCTCTGGCATGATTTCTAAGGTAGACTGAGGGACTCACCACCACCTTTGCCTGGAAGGAGAGGTAATTTTGAAATAACCTTTTAAGATTCCTCCTTATCTAAAGAAAGTAAACCCTTACCTATAATTTTTGTCTCCAGCAACACCTGTCAAAAGCAATTTGGCTTGAGAAATTAGTGAAGCCAAATCTAAACATAACCTCACCTCTGCATTACTATACAATTTTTCGGAGGGCAGGAGAGGAGGAGGAGGACTCTCAGGAGAAGCAAGGGCCCAGCAGGAATATTAGGTAAAGATAATCTTAGACAGCCAAGGTGCAGACTACTCAAGGAAGAAAGCCTCTAGGAGTCACATCCCAAAACGAACAAACATTTCAAATAGGCCAGGACCTTAAAAACTGCTCTTTCTCAGTTTTACCTAAAAGACAAGTCCTTTTAAATAGCCTTAAGTCATAACTGCCTCCCCTCATTTACATTTCCAAAACATTAAACAAAAGAGACAGAAAAGGAAAAATCTTACTTTACCTTGGGTTTTGGCCCCCGGTGGTGTCGATCCTAGTGATGAATTACAGGATTCCTTGAGAGGAGATCTGATGGGAGTTTCTGCTTCAGGGGTCTCAAAATTACCTTCAGAATCCGAGCTGCCAAGGGGGAAAAATGAGGAATTACCACTTTCAACGGTATTTCCGACACCCTTTATAACCTATGTATCTGCAAAGACTGAAGTCCAGCATTTGTCCTAACTTTACAACCCACGAGTCTCAGCACGGATTGGCCGGCAGAGCTGCAGCGCATTTTCTATTAGTGTCCTCCTCGGGCTTCTGTCTGCCAGCCTCTCTCCCTGAAATCTCCATCCTCCAGTGTCTTTCTTCAGCACCATTTATTTTGAGGTCATCCTTCCCTCTGACACTCGGAAAAAAAGCGCTTTCCAACAGACTCCTTTTCTTATCAGAGCCCTTTTAAGGAGCCGCTTCCCAGAGGCTTAAAAATTAACATTGTCCCTCTCCCCCTAAAATACGCAAGGCAAATTTCGCCTCGATGCCTTTTCTTCAGGAGACTTCTCTACCTGGGTGTACAGACTCGGCCCGAGGCTGAGAATGCTGTCACCTGCCTTTCGCAATCATACGGGTGACAGCTCAGCAGAGACCACCATTTCTCACCAGCTGCCAGGGGCCTGTCATCACACGACCTTCTTTACCGAGGCTGCATTTTTCGGGACACAGTCGGGGACGGGGGATGGTGGGGTGGTGGTAGGGGAAGAGCCCCTGAGAGAGACTTCTTTCCTACAGGGAGGGCCCTAAGTCCCACCGGGTATGACCCATGACATTGTGTGTGTGTGTGTGTTTAGGGGACGGAAGGAGCAAAGCTTCACGAAAACGACCACGGCGGATGGGGATGCGGAGAGACTGCAGATTCTGGGTAGGTTCCGAAAGCTCACACCGCAACTGGGGGCCACAAAACACACGGGAAGGCAGAACATTCTGAACTTTCGAATGCACAGCGGGGACCTGGTTAAGGGCAGCCACGCAACATTGCCATGAAAATGGTTACGCGGGTGGGCGAGCACACACGCACACAGAATGAGCCGCAGATGGATGGATGGCAGCACGACTGCATCACCGCTGGGATGCGTGTACTTGCCTGAAACTCAAGGATTTGGTCTCGGCTTGCGAGTCCTCCTCCTCGGGGTCGCCCTCGGGCCCTCCGGCCTCGTCCTCTCCGGCGCCCCCGCCGCGCACCGCAGACCACGTCCATTTCGCCCACTGCACGGGGGACAGGATCTGCCAAGAGCTGAACGCCATTCCTCCGGCTCCCGCGCCTAGGAGGTGGGGAAGGGGGAGAGCCTTTTTTCCCTTTCAAAATGGAGGGAACCGGTGACAGGCGCCTGGAAGCGTCAGAAGCCGAGGCGCGGATGTGGTTAAGCGGGCGCCGTCGGGGGCCCGGGTGGAGCGCTTCCTCTCGGGCGGCGGGCAGCGCCGTTTCCTCCCGTCCTCCTGCCCAAAAGGCGCGGCC